TTTGCTTGAGCCTCCTGCTTTCTAATATTGATTGCTAGGCTTGCTTGCAAGAAGGAAATCATAGTCGACACAGCTGAAGAGTACTAGATTGGGAAAGACAAGCCTGTCAGCTGGTTTTCAGTTGACAGGTTGCAACTTCCTTTTGGGTTTGACTTAAGGTGGAATACACTAGTATCACTGATAAGGTAAAGGTAAAAGTTTTCCCCTGACATTAAGTCCAGTCGTGTCTGACTCTGGGGTGTGGTGCTCATCTCCATTTCTAAGCTGAAGAGCCAGCATTGTCCGTAGACACCTCTTGGTCATGTGGCCAGCATGACTGCATGGAGCACTGTTACCTTCCTGCCGAAGCGGTACCTATTGATCTATTCACATTTGCACGTTTTCGAACTGCTAGGTTGGCAGAAGCTGGGGCTGACAGCACAAGTTTACACCGTTCCTCGGTTTTGAACCTGCAACCTTTTGGTCAACAAGTTTAGCAGCTCAGTGGTTTAACCCACTGTGCCACCGGAGGCTCCATCACTGATGTGACACAAATATATCACTGATATGATATAAATATATCACTGATATGATATAAATATATCACTGATACGATTTGTATCACTGTTATGATACAAATATAACCATCCCACTTCACCCAGTACTCAGCTTCTGGTATTATTTTAAATCACCCAGTCAAATATACAGAAACAGAGCTAACATTTGAGGCACTAAAATGTGTGCTGGGCTGGCCAGTGTTGCCTATCTTAGGGCCCTTCCACACAGCCCTTTATCCCAGAATATCAAGGCAGAAAATCCCACATTATCTGAGTCTGAACTCAGATGACCCAGTTCAAAGCAGATATTGTGAGATTTCCTGACTTAATATTCAGGGCTGTGTGGAAGGGCCCTTGGTTGCAAGGTTCTGGGAGCTATCATCCAATTAAAAAAATTTCAAAGTGCTTTGTTTACTTATAAAACAATGGCCAACCTCCTCTATTTCAACTTCACATGCTATTTTTGAAAATATGTCAAGTACGATTAAAGATTTAACCCGCTCGGGGTTGCATGTTTTCTGAGAAAGAAAAACATACTGAATTACCAAATCCAGACTAATGAGATATCATACTTTTTGAACTGCATGCCTTCGGCACACACTAAGGATCCTTTCGCAGTACATAATTATTGTTCTGTAGTATAGTACTGTCATGGCAAAATCCTTGGACTCGTGGAACTGTGGTTTAAGGAGATGTAGTTAGAATTCTCAGCCAAAGAGCTGTGTGTTGAGTCCTCTGCTTTACACATTTTACACATATGATTGCACCCCCATCCATCATAGCAATATCATTAACAAATTTGCGGATAATACAACAGTGGTGGGCTTATCTCTGAAAGAGATGAGTCTGCCTATCAGTGTTCTGGTACAGCTGTACCAGGAGCTCCAATTTTATTTGCTTTGTATTTAATGTTTGCTTGCAGCCCTTGGTTTCAGGGACTCTGGAGATAGGTGGCTTCTTTTGGTTGCAGTCATAGGGCAAGTCACCTGTCCATCATTGTTAAGTTTGGTCCCGCCCTTTGCTCAGGGCAATTGGGAAGGGAAAGGAGCCATTTTTTAGTTAGTCTCAGCAAGGTTAACCAATGTACAGGACGTGTGTAAACTTCCCCTGTACAAAAGCTTCAACCTTTAAGAATTACCAGGAAAACAGCCCTAAAGACCAAAGAACTCCAGCTGGAGAACATGTACTGCCTTGCTGGTAGCGTCCACTCGGCGTTTGAGAAGCAGTTCGACCCGGTAGCAGAGCCCACATCAGTAAGGGTTAGATCCCACCAGCATCACAGGCACATTTGGTGGGGATGAGGGAGAGGGCCTTTTCGGTGGTGGCCCCTCGACTCTGGAACTCACTCCCTAAAGATATCAGACAGGCTCCAACTCTGGCAGTCTTCAGGAGGAGCTTGAAGACGTGGCTGTTCCAGTGTGCCTTCCCGGAATAATGATCCCATAGCACTTTGTCCTCTAAAGCACTTTACATTTCCTTGAGTCTGCTTGTATGCCCTCCACAAGCATCAGTATCATATTTCATTCATGGCCCAGCATTATTTCCAATTTTAACTCTACATTTGGCCTTCCCACTGTTTTAATTATGTGTTGCTTTTATTTATTTTTATAATGTTGTGTATTTTATTGTCTATGTTTTTAATTGCATGTATTGATGTTTTATTGCTTCTATTGTTGTGTTTGGGCTCGGGGACATGGTAGCGGGGTACAAATAAAGTTAATAATAAATAAATAATAATAATTACAGTCAGCCTGGGAGAAGTTAAAAAGGGGATTTTCCTTTAAAGTAAAGAAGAAGTTATTGAAGATAGTTGCCTGTCCTTCGTGGGCAAGTTTAGGAAGCTACCAGTTGCATAAAAGCCTGGAATCATTTGCTTAACTTTACTGAAGACAAGCGAAGTTTCTGTTTGATTGTTCATTAATAAAAGACTGTGTTATACTTCACAAGCCATCTAAAGACTATTTGTGGTGGAAAACCTCTGAGAACTTCTCTTTGGGCCCCCTGGCTTCCCGCTGGGCAAAGGTTGCACGTCCTGTTTTAAAGACAATTATTTACAGGCCCAGCGCACGACAGAACAATCAGGATGAAGTGGATCAGCTGCTCTTATGGTGCAGGAAGAATAATCTGGCTCTTAACATCAATAAGACCAAGGAGCTCATAGAGAACTACAAAAAGAACAGACCAGAAATCCAGCCCTGGGTCCTAAATAGAAACCAAGTGGAGCAGGTGGCCAGTTTTAAGTTCCTAGGTGTCATTGTGAAGAACGATCTGACCTGGAGCACTCATACACCAGCACTGGTTATAGTTAAGAGAACCCAGCAGAGACTGTACTATCTGAGACTTCTAAGGAACCAACAACTGAATGGAAAACTGCTGGTGACTTTCTAACACTGTGCCATAGAGTTTTCTAACCTACTGCATCTGCACATGGTTTAGTAACTGCACAGTGGCAGATAGGAAGGTGCTTCAAAGGGTCACCACTTCTGCACAGAGAATCATTGGTTGCAATCTCCCCGCTTTGGAAGCTTAATAAGTCCCACAGCCTTAAGAAGACTCAAAACATTCTTAAGGATCCATCACACCCAGCCTATTCTTTTTTTAAAAATTATTACCATCTGGTAGACAAGACAATACAGAGTGACAAAGACAACGACAAACAGATCGAGAGATAACTTTTATCCTAGAGCTGTAACTATATTGAACTCCATGGTTTCGCATTGATGTGGCATTGGGGGCTGTGAGGTGGTAGTTGAGGTGTGGAGGGATGAGTGTGTTGTTTTTGTGATGTGTGCTGGGGAAAGCATTTAATTATATTGTATTTATTTGTCATGTCAGAGCAACCAGTCAATTGTATTACATTTCTAACAGAACAAAACAAACAAACAAACAAACAGACAAAATACAAAATCTGCAAGTTTGATAGTTGATTAAATGTCCTTTGACCAGTAGCTGGCCACTTGGAGTGCTTCTGATGTTGCTGCAAGAAGGTCCTCCATTGTGAATTATATAGTACAATGTACAATTTACCATGACAATAAAGTTATTCTATTCTCTTCTAGTTCCCCTGGCAAACAAGAAACCCCCAATCCATAGGGGACAGCCATGGCAATTAAAGTAGAACTACAACACTGTAGGTATGGCATGGGAAAGAGCCCAAACAACTTCAACCAACCTCAGTAAAATGGAGCTACATGGAAGAATTTCCAGATACCAAACTGTGAGCAGAGGAATTCTATGTACAAACTATGCTCTATGTGCAAACGAAAACCAGTATGGTGTAATGGTTAAACTTTGGAAGTATGAGTGAAAAGCTTCCATTCAAACCTGACTTGCTCAATGAATCACACAATCTAACATTGGGCTGTCCATTATCTCTGAAACTGGCCAACCTCATAGGGTTGTTATAAGGTAGATAACATAGTCCCATAGAAAGAAGGAAACTCAAGACTTGGTTGCGGGAACTTGCGTTTGACCATTGAATAGCAGCTAGTGAAAAGAAGACATAAGCAACTCGAAGTGACAATGAATTGACCCGGAATCTGATTTTAACTGGTGTGTTTTAACAACTGTTTATTTAATTGCCCAAACTGTGTACCATACCCCCCCCCCACCCAATTATTTCCAAGTGCTTCTGTCTCTAAAACAGCATAATTAAACTTTAGAAAACAAGAAGTGCTAGATAAGAATAATTTCTAAACTCAAAGAACTAAAGAAGAGGTATAGAGATCGGATAACAGCTCACAGGTATAGAGATTGAATAACAGCTCACTTAGTATCAAGTAACACTGAATTGACAATTTGCTCCCCATTCTGGACAAATTGTCAATTCAGTGTGCTGATTTTTTTACAATGATTTGTTTCTATTGTGGTTAAACTTCTGAAAAGACCTGTTCAAAATTAGAATGTTTATTCTAGCTAAACCTTTGAAAGAACTTCTTGTTTGCAAATCTATTTGACAGTGGAAACAACTGCCTTGAAAGGTAGTTGTCATTTCTTTATGGGAAACATTAAAACAGAGGTTGGGTGCCCATTTTCAGGTTGTTTTTTCACTGTGAATTTCTTTCATTGGCAAGGGGTTGGTATATATGAAGTTGGTGTCGCTTCCAACTTCTAGGTGTTTTGTTTAGAAATTCTAGCAGTCCTTGAAAAATACTTTCATGTATAATTTTAAATTATTTAGAAGAATGAGTATGCAGCAACTACCCCTCATAGAAAGCTTTTCAGAAGAGACCTTTCTTGTCTTGCAGAGTTAAGAAGTTGTGCCCAGCCAAAATATACACCTATAGAAGGTATAGGATGCTAATCAGATTTTACAGCTGGTCACCATCCTAGCATGAAGCATGTCTCTAGATGCCACTTTCCTTCGGGATCCCTCTGAAGAGAGAGAGAAAGAGATGTCTGATCTGCTTCACCCAGCAAAAGTGTGTAATCTATGGACCAAAACAAACATGTTTATTTTTTCACCTGCAGTTCTTTGATGTTTTCCATCGGAGCAATAGGCTGGGTTGGTCTGGGGTATGGATGTTGGGAGCCAGACTTGCTCGGACAAGCAACCGGTGCTTGTAGCTCCTTTTCCCTGTTCTCCATCTCCTTTGAAAGCGACGCTGCCGGGTCTTGCTATTGCTGCTGCTTTTCTGAGAAGCCAGTCACCCTCCAGTGGCCTGTTTGCTGCTGATGCCGTTTCCATGGTGAGCCTGAATCCTGAGACACTTTGCAAAGCTGCTGCTTCCTCCTTCTTCCCCTCGCCTCCCCTTTTGCCATTTTTGGCCTGTGATTCTCAGTGGTTTCTCTACACACAAGGTTGCCAGAGGATCCTGATCCTTCAATGCCCAGTCTAGCCAAATAAGCTTTGTACTTGGCTGTTTTCCCAAGAATTTAACCCAGCATGGCTTAATTCTCTCACCTTCCCCACTTTCCATCCTCTTACAGCAGCCGATAGAATCAGCAATGTCATTTAGGGCCCTTCCACACAGCCATATAACCCAGAAGGCAGATAATCCACAATGTCTGTTTTGAACTGGATTATCGGAGTCCACACTACCATATAATCCAGTTCAATGTGGGTTTTATACTCCATTTATATACCGCTTTTCTCAATCCTCGGGCGACTCAAAGCGGTTTACAGTAGCAAAATTCAATGTTTGAACATCATAAAACTGATTAAAACAATTAAAAACCATAGCATCTATATTCAAACATTACAAAGCCAATACTACATAACTCATGGAGCCTCTTAGTTAAAATCAAGATCCAATCTCGTCATCCAGTCATTTCATGTTCCAATATTTGTTACATTGCCTTTTCAAATGCCTTCTCAAATAGCCAGGTCTTAACCTTCCTACAAAATGCTAACAGAGAAGGGGCCAATCTAATATATCTGGGAAGGGCGTTCCATAGCTGAGGGGCCACCACTGAGAAGGCCCTGTCTCTTGTCCCTGCCAAATGTGTTTTCACGCAGGCGGGATCGAGAGCAGGGCCTCCCCAGATGGTCTTAACGTCCTAGCTGGTTCATAGGAGGAGATACGTTCGGACAGGTAAGTTGGGCCAGAACCGTTTAGATGCAAAGTGACCAAGACCAGATAGTCAGCTTTGCCACATGAGGCAAAAAATTCTTGAAGTTTTTATTTCCTTTCCTGGAAGAAAAAGAAAACAAATATTATTGGTAACTAATTGTAGAATTTAAATTATCTTCTACCTAAGTCAGGTTTTGCATTTGCCCAAGTGGAAGGACTGACCATGCCGTTCCATGTGGATGTGTCTGCTCACAAACCCTAGATCAGGGGTCCTCAAACTAAGGCCCGGGGGCTGGATACAGCCCTCCAAAGTCATTTACCCAGCCCTCGCTCAGGGTCAACCTAAGTCTAAAAAGCCTTAAAAGCCTTAAAAGCACACAACAACAACAACAATCCTATCTCATCAGCCAAAAGCAGGCCCACACTTCCCATTGAAATACTAATAAGTTTATATTTGATAAAATTGTTCTTCATTTTAATTATTGTATTGTTTTGAAGTGTTTTTGCACTACAAATAAAATATGTGCAGTGTGCAATTCATTCATGGTTGTTTTTTTTTTCAAATTATAATCCGGCCCTCCAACAGTTTGAGGGACTGTGACCTGGCCCTCTGTTTAAAAAGTTTAAGGATCCCTGCCCTAGATGATACCAAACTCCTCATCACACTAGAGAAAAATCCACGTAAAATCCAGTTTCTGCCTACTGCAGAATTCTGGGGTTTGTAGTTTAGGGAGGAGCCTTTAACAGCCTCACTAAACTACAAACCCCAGAATTCTGCAGGAGGCAGAAACCAGATTTTAAGTGGATTTTTTTTCTCTAGTGTGATGAAGTGGCAAGTAATCTGGAGTGTGTTTCACAATCCCATAGGTAACTGTGTTAGGACTTGGCATCCCTAGGTACGACTGTTTGCTCATTTAGGGTTCTTCCAGACAGGCCCTATATCCCAGGATCTGATCCCGGGTTTTCTGTTTATCCCAGGTTATCTGACAGTGCGCACTCATATAATCCAGTTTAAAGCAGAAAACCTGGGATCAGATCCTAGGATATAGAGCCTGTCAGAGTCCATAGATAACCAATCCATAGATGACCAATCCACAAACCTCGCAACCTCTGAGAATGCCTGCCATAGATGTGGGTGAAACATCAGGAGAAAATGATTTTGGAACATGGCCATACAGCCCGGAAAATTCACAGCAACCCAATGCACAAGTCCATTTTGCTGCATCTAAACTGTAGAATTCACTACCTGGTGAAACCAGGCAAGCCCCCTCCTTAGCTGACTTCAAGAAAAATCTGAAAACCTGTCTCTTCCGATGTGCCTTTGGAGAGTGACCATTTATCCCATTTCTGTTTGCCCCATCTATAGTGTCACCTCTATGATGTTGAATGAACATTAATCCCTGACCTGACCAAACCCTGCAAAAATGTCCTCGGAAGCACTTTATCTTCCTGCTAGTGCAATCACACCCTATTTTGTCTCCCGGATCCCCTATCCTGACACATTACATTGCCCTCTCACCCAGTGTTTTTAAATTTTTAATTCTTTGCAACTGGCCCAGCCCACTGTGATTAATTTTCTGTGTTCAAATGTTCTGATTCTATATTGTTTTATATTGTTTGATGTGTATATTTATATTGGTTCTGTATTTTTTTTCTTTTCTGCTGTGTTCTTGTTGTATATTGTTTTATTGTACTACTGGGCTTGGCCTCGTGTAAGCTGTTCGAGTCCCCTTGGGGAGATGGTGGTGGGGTATAAATAAAATTTATTATTATTATTATTATTATTATTATTATTATTATTATTATTATTATTATTATAGAATTAGTGCAGTTTGGTGCCACTTTAACTGCCATGGCTCAACACTATGGATTCCTGGGAACTGTAGTTTTGTGAGACAATGGCATTTAGCAGAGAGGGCACATGACCTTGTAAAATTGCATCTTCCATGATTCAATAGTATTGAGCTCCGACTGTGTTCTGTCACGCACTGGGCCTGTAATAATTGTCTTTTGAAATAGGACGTGCACCTTGTGCCCAGCAGGAAGCCAGGGCACCATGAAAGAGGCCCTCAAAGATTTTCCTGAAGAAATGGTCTTTAGATGGCTTGAAAAGTTAAACAAAGTCCTTTATTATTGAACAAATTAAACAGATATTTCTCAAATCTTCAATGAGTCAAACCAATGCTTCAAGGCTTTAAATCAACTGGTGGCTTCCTTAATCTTGTCCACAAGGGATAGGCAACTGTCTTCGTTAATCTTATACTATGAGAGGAAACCCCCTTTTTAACGTCTCCCAGGCTATCTGTTATCTTAGTTTTGTTGGTGTGAGATCTACTACCGATTCCAAAATGCGTCTTGGTACCGAGTAAACCTACCAGACAAAGCTTGTAGATTCTCCAGCTGGAGTTCTTTGGGCCTGTAAAGCTCTTTTTTCCTCTGGAATTTCTTTAAGACTTTAGGGCTGTTTCCCTCAGATGCTGTAAGGCTGAGAGGCTGCAAGCTCCCAGCCAGATCTTTGGGAATTTCCCTCCGGAATGTCCTGAGAAATAAAGCTTTTCTGCAAGTGAAGCTTGTCCACATCCTCTAACTTAGCTTTCCTCACTAAGACTAACTAAAAAACGGCCCCTTCTTCCCTTCCCATCTCCCTGGGAGAAGGGGCGGATCCAAACTTAACAATGATAGACAGGTGGCTTGCCCTATGACTGCAAACCAAAGGAAGCCACCTTTTTGCAGAATCCCTGAAACTTTGAAATGCATGCAAACACTTAATAAAAATAAAATAAAATTGGAGGTCCTGGTACAGACGTACCAGCACAGACTGTTAAAGTGGTGTTGAATTGCATTATTTCTACAGTGTAGATGCACCCAAAGATCAGAGTATGGCATTAACATGTCCATAAAACAATTGAGGATGTTAAGGCTATCTGTTGAATTTTGGTTCTTAAAACATCTATACATCAATTTACTCAGCAGGATAGAAGAATATTTGGGGGAGAGGGAGAGGTGCTACATGTAATCCCATCAGGGAAATAATTTGTATGTTTTACAATCTAACCACTAGAGGGGGCAGGAACTCCCACAATGGGAACAGGGCCGCAGAGCATAATCTCAATCATTTATGACCGTAAAGCAAGTGGTCTTGTTATTTTTGATTCTGTTGCAATAGTCACATTTGTCTGGTGTTCTGTCAAAGAAGGGAAGAACAGGGACTACTACTTGTCCAGATGCTCTGGTTACATTTTTTTTCTCAGTAGAAGACTGGACATAAAAAGGACTGGATGTAAAACTGCACATAGAAAGGACAAGTGAAACCTAAGCATTTTCAGGATGTTTAATCACATGCCTCAAAAAAATAGCTATATTGAGAACTCAATAGGCATGGCGCTAGCACAGAAAAGATATAATGTGGTATAGCTTTCAACCTGGCCTTCAATAACTGAGACCCCTTCCACACAGCTGTATAAAATCCACATTGAACTGGATTATATGACAGTGTGGATTCAAGTAATCCAGTTCAAAGCAGATATGGTGGATTATCTGACTTGATATTCTGGGTTATATGGCTATGTGGAAGGGCCCTAAAGCAGCAACATCAATGCCAGGATCAATGTATATGCAAAAAGAAGGTTGTCCTCAATTTATGCAACATTCATTGAGGCCCAAAACAATATCATAAGTTTGGCACAAAATCTTAATGACAGACAGCATAGGACCCTTCCACACAGCCATATAACCCAGAATATCAAGGCAGAAAATCTCACGATATCTGGCAGATAATTGACAATGGTAATAATGATAATGTCATGGAAAATGGCACGTTTCGCTCTTTCGCCCTCCATTTGTGCCTCTTCAAATTCTACAGAACTACTGGCCACCGTGACCTCCAGCTAGAGTGCTCAAGGGCCAGGGCTTCCCAGTTCTCGGTGTCTATGCCACAGTTTTTAAGGTTGAGTTTAAACACATCTTTAAATCTCTTTTCCTGTCCTCCAACATTGTTTTCCATTCTTGAGTTCGGAGTAGAGTAACTGCTTTGGGAGACGGTTATCCTAACACAGTGTATGTCTTATACTTGGATTTGCTGGCAGGAGGCTTTAGTTGCACATGTCCATGTAAATAAAAAGAAAGCAAAGGAAAACAAAGAAACTTCTGCCAATTGTGGAA